TTCTTCAACCAAGTCGAAAACCAACCCTTTAAATACATTTTCGAGTAGTACAATTTAATTTATTAGACTATTTCAAAGGTTTGTCGTATGGTTGCTTCCAACTTCTTAAATTCGAACTATTTGTTATTTGTTAACGAAACAATTGTTGGTGAAGTGATTGTTGACAAAATGAATCAACCAACATTTATTTTACATTATCAAATTCATGATTTTGATTGGTCAATCAATAATTGCATGGGTTAAAAATTTTGTGCTGCCAGAACTGTCTCCTGTTAATATTAATAAAAATGTAATTTTTTCAAATTGAATTTATATATAATTTTTATTTTTATTAATTTTTAATATATACAATAAAATTCGATGCGAAATGTTAAAATTAAATAAAAAATTATCCACATCGCAATGTAATAATGCATTGTGCAATGTTGGGTAGGCTGCGCACCTTGAAATAAGGTTGTGCAATGGTACCTGTTTTACATCGCGATGCAATTTTATAATTTAGGATCCTGATGATTATTTAACGGCTCATTATTAATATCAATATTAATACTCTCATTGTGACTTCTAAAAGTACCACTCATTGTAAATAGCAGGTCACAAACTGTGTTTTTGTCTTCATTTTTTATGTTGAAATCTTTACAATCCTCCAAAAAATTCGTGGTAAATGGTAATAATTTTTTGGTGGACAACAATTTAAAAAAAGCTGGTTTATCATTATCCAACTTTTCAACCCAATTTTTTGATAAGGCAGACTTTTTCGCTTTCTTAATGCGATCTAATGCACATTTACCTACATTTTTTGGCAATAGAGACACAATTAGTTTTGCAAATATCTTAATACATCAAATTTAGAAAAGAAAACAAACTCACCCTCTTCAAATTCTTCAGACTTATGTTCCACAAATAAAAGAAATAAAATGTTAGTTAAAGTTGTATGCAACATATCAGATAATCACAAAATAAATAAATGAAATTGAATGGAATGGAAATTTTTTGTATATTGGTGATTCGCCTATGAACCAGTGAATGATTGACATTTTTTAGATCTTTACCTTTATCCTTTCAAGTTTTTTTCGATTTTTTAATTTTAAAAAAAAATTTTTTTTTAAAGGAAAGAAACTTACTTGCTGCAACAAGATTAGCATGAGTCAATATGACGCCTTTTGGATTACCGGTAGTTCCAGAAGTATACATAATACAACATATATCTTGTGATTTTGGTGGGTTTGTATTTATTGGATAATCTTTGCCTAATTGTTTAAGTTCTTCCAATGTAAAAATTCCAAGGTTTGAATGAGCATTTGACAATTCTTGCAAGACTGATCCTTTTGCATCACCATCATAAATTATAAATTTAAGAGTTGAACATTTTCCAGCAACCTTTTTAACCATTGGAAGTAAATCTGCGTTAGTAAATATTCCATTAACTTCTGCTTCATTCATTGAATGGAGAAGACCTTCTTCTCCGAGGGTATCATATGCAGTCACAATAGTCATACTCTGTGAGAAACAACCTATGGATTAAGATGATTTCGCAAAATCAATACTTTGTTACATATACATTGTTTGTTTATAATTAGATATTAGCAACGCTTACCATGAGTCACAAGCATCCAATTGGCACTAATATATTTTATATACATAAAGATAACAATAAGAAATTTAGTATCATATATAATATAAATATATATATATATATATATATATATAATAAAATAATTTTTTATTACCTTGTAGCAGCAAAGATTGCAATTTTAGACCCTTCACTTAAACCTAATTTTACCAGGCCAGCCCCAATGGTTTTAATTTCTTGATCCAAATCATTATAAGTTAACCAATTATAACCTGATAATTGAAAATATTTCCAAGTTTTCAATTCTTTTTTTTCGACCCCTCCAACAATCTTTGTGACTTCCTTTTCTTCTTCAACAATCCTTTCGATTTTTCTATAACCTAAAGCATTTTTATTATCACCATATTTTTTAACACTGCGTTGCACCACATCATAAAGAGTTTTAACACCTTCCTCGGGCGAATCAATCAATTTATCAGGACTTAGGCGAGAACGACGAGTGCGACATTCACCTTCAACTTTAGTACCAATTTCAACGCTCATTTTCAAGGTTGGGTTTTTATTTATTTATTTTTCAATCAGAAAGAGATTCGTGAATTGCTTAGAGATCGACATTTTATAATAATTTTTGTGCCACAGGAAGAAGAACATCTAAAAAAAAAAAATAGTTTGTAATAATAAAATTTAATTATTATTCATACACACATGTAATAGCAATGAAATTTGAAATTCACGCGTGCGAAATTCAAATTAGCCAATTGGAGTTTTACTCCGCCCCAAAATTTAATTGTTGATTGAATATTTGAAACTTTCTAGGAAACGCGTGACCGATTCATTCACGGATTGTATGAAAAATGTCTCATTCGATTTAACTATACTTTAATACAAAATGCTTTCACTATTAGTTACCAAAATCTTGATTTTTCGATCAAATTAAACTAATTAGAAACAAATCAGGAGTTAGATCCCTTTTTTTTTATAATGAATTGTCCCAGACCTTGAAAATTTTTGACTTTTATTCCATTATTTGATAACTGGCTACAGAATATTATGAAGGAATAAAGAAAAAACCAGTAGTAAATCACGTGATTTCAACTGTGAACCCATTTTCTCCAACAATTAACTCTTCTATGAGCCAAAATCACTATTTCGTTCAACTTATTAATATTGAAATAGATATTTGAGAAAGAAATGCTCGTAATATGGTGTGTTTGTATTCCTTTCATTCTAAATAATGTAATTGCAAAAAAAAACAGTAAAATTCAACCCTATTGTAAAACTGAACATCAGATTAGTTGGAAAATGATTTAAAATAACTTTAAAAAACAAAACTTTGTTTAAATTTTATTCGAAACAAGTTGGTTGTTTTTTAGTAATTTTCCAACAACAATAATTTTCCGTTTTTTTTTTTGAAACATATTTTTGTTAAAGGCGTTGAATTTTTAAATCATTCTGCGTCTTTTTTTGTTTTACCGATCAATACATAGATCAAAATCTGTCCAGTTCACCTATTTTTTAGCTACAGTCATTAAAATAGCATCAAATGAAAGCTCAAAAGTTATTCTATCACTTATGGCACTTATATTTTTCATTTTCTTTTTTAAAGTATTTTTCTAACGTAATTTTTGCATTAGTAAAACTTTTTAGTGGTCAAAAAAAAAAAAAAAAAATCAAATCGTCGCCTAATTTTAAAGCATAGGCCATAAATTACTCTCATGCCAATTTCCAATAAATGTTTATTTGGTAATTATGGAGAAAATAGAATTTGAATTTTTAATTTTGAATTTGATTGACGCGAATCCAAAAAAAAAAACAAAAAAAAACAAAATAAAAAATTTTATTCAAACATGAACAACAATAATAATAACAAAAATTCACAAGCGATCTTGAGTATTAAGGCGACAACAACGACAACAAGTGCCGCAGCTTTATCAGAGCAGTTACTATATAGTAATAGCAGCGATAACTATAGTAATAATGATAATAGCCGTGATAACAACAGTAATTAGTAACAACAACAACAACAACTATTTATTATTAATAATAACAATTATAATGACGATGATGATGGTGATGATGATTATAATTATGATTATGATTTTGATTTTGATTATGATTATGATTATGATTATGATTATGATTATGATTATGATTATGATTATGAAGAACTTGAGGAAGAAGGAAAGGAGAAGACGAGGTTGATGGTGATAATAATGATGATAATGGCAGTCAGTAGTGGCGATGATAATGGTGGTGGTGACAATGATGACAATGATGGTAATAATGGTGGTGGTGATGGTAATGGCGAAAGCAAACATATGAACACTTGAGGGTCACGACACTAATACGGCATACGACATATGACATATGGCAAGTACCGTATGCCGTAGGATCACAAACAAAATCATTTTTTAATTCGGGTTGTTGACATTACTTAAAAAAGAAAAGATAAACAGTTACAGCATACGGCATACGGCAAACCTTCCAAGAGTTACGACATAGTTGCGACATAGCCGTGTCATAACTATGAGTTATAGTTCGGCAATATGTCTGCACCCTTAATTATTACCATCATTACTACCATCACGGTGATGGTAGTAATGATGGTAATAATGGTGGTGGTGATGATATGGATGTAGATGTAAATTATAATAATCAAATTATTACGAGTACTTTACTAATAAAAAGTTTTAATGTAAATATATTTATAACTTATTCTAGATTCCATTAACAAGTTAATTAAATTGTATTTTAATAATAATAAAAAACATGGATTAATATTGAACCTATTCTTTGTTGTATTTTTAAACCTATCATTGATCAAATTTACAATAGTGGTAGTGATTATTATAATTCACAATTCATCGTTCTAGTTGGTAAAATAAAAGAGGTTGTTAATTTTATAGATGATAACAATAAATTTCGAACGTATGTGAAGGGATTTTTGCAAAGTCCCGGCAATGTTTTTGCACATTGTATTTATCATTAGTGTAGCTCGTGGGAATTTGAACTCACTCACAATTGTGATAATTATTAATTTTCCATTTTTTCTTCCAGTTAATGAATGTATAATAAAAAAACAAAAAAAGCAAGTTGATAGTAAGCTTAATAAATAACAACCTTCTTATAAAAATTAATTGAATCTATATAATTAAATAAATAATAATAAATTAGTTTACTAATAATAATTAAATATCATCTATGGAAAATAACTATTACATCGACAATAAATGTCCAGTATAACATACTAGTGAACATATTTTCAATGTTTATATTAAATTGTCACCATAACTATTTCTTAAACATTATGTGTGAATATTAACAGCGGTTTCTGAAAAAAAATTATAAATTTAACTCGGAAATTTTTACAATTAAAAATAAATAAATAATAATAATTTGAAGATTAAATATATATTACCCTAAAATTGTAATATTAAAAGTTGACACCTATTGCTACTCTTAAAAGATTTAATCTGTTTTTCAACATTTTATAAACATGTAAGTAACATCATTTGCCATTCTAGACTTCAATGTTCTAAAATTTAAAATGTCAAAAAAGAAAATATAACTTTTGTAAAATAAAAAAAATGTGGCTTTAGTAATTTTAAGATGGAAATTTAATATAATCGTTAACTTTAAAATTATTTGTTTGTTTATAGAATTCAAAAATGGCGATGATATTTTTTCAATTATTATCATTATTGGATTTTTTCAAAACTTTTTCTCTATCTTGCTGAATATCCTTTTTAGGAACACTGATTTTTATTAGATGTGTACTTGTGAGCCTCACTATATAAAATAAATTATAATAATTATAATCAAATTCATTTATCTTTCTAGACCAAGTCGCTAATATCTATTTACTATTAAATAAAGAAACTATAATCAATAATAAATTATCATTTTCAAAAAATATTAATATAATAAATTAAATTGATAACAAATATTAACTATTACGCTTATAATTATTTTTATCACTGTTATCAGTATTAACATTATTATCACTAATAATAAGATGGAACTATATTAAATAAAAAGGAGTAACAAAAACTGATGACGATGTAAAAAAATGATATGGTATATTTACTTCACTAACTAATGCATTTATCCAGAAATTATAATTGTTTGAGTATAATTTGATAAAATAAAATTCATAAAACAAATTATCTTCCCAAAGCCTACTATATATTTAATATAACACTTACTACATATTGTTTTATTCTCCCCTTCCGCATCATTAATATATTGCCACATTGGCTTCATTATTTTCAAATTAATTTCTCAATTTCTGATTCTATGATCTTTCTAATTTAACCTTCAAAGTGCCCCATTACAATTGTCTTTGCTTTATAATCGCTTCTAGTTTTATGAACATCTTGAGGAAAGTGTCAACAAAACAACACTTTCGACTTGTCGTAGAATAACCAATACTTGTGCTAACTTCTTGCTTAAATAGTCATTTGAAAACCCTTTCAATTTTTTGTATCAAGGGTTGTTTGATATCTAACCAAATTTGTGTAAAAATCTGCGGTAATTATCCTAATTTGGTTAGTACACATTATCCGTGCACTTGGATTCCATAATGTTATATCACGTGGTTTTATTTGAATCAAAGTTCACGACTTCAAATGTTTTCTTGTTATTTAGCTTTATTTAACCGACATTTTCAAAGGTAAATAACTGTCATTGCTACACTGACTGGAGATGTAGGTATGAAATCAAAGAAAATACCATATGACTGAATCAGGGAAGCATTCTGTTGATCGAAAAACAAAATTATTATTATTATGTATTACAGTATTAGTATTACATTACATGAATGACGGCGCATAATAATAAAAATTTTTACTTTGTTTTAAAAAAATATAAATAGTCTTTATAAATGTTACCAAAGTTGTTTGAGTCGACAAGATCTTATCAAAATTTATCAAATGATTATTTAAATTTGTTAAACCAAGAAGATACATTTGACGTGCTATTAATCGTGGGAGATGAAAACAACTTTGAAACATTTAAAGCTCATTCGATTATTTTAAAAACTAGATCAGAATATTTTAAGGCGGCTTTATCAAATTCCTGGAGAAAAGATGGGTTTTATAATATTGATTTACGTGGATTAAACATACAATATAAATTATTTGAAAATATACTTTATTATATTTATGGGGGTATGATAATAAATTTAGACAATTTAAATATAAAAGAGAAATTGCAATTATTAAAAACAGCAGATGTTTTAATTATGGATTCATTTGTTGATTATTTAGAACAGAATTTGATCAAAGAAGAAAAAAGCTGGTATAAAGATCAAGCAAGTGAGGTATTATTTGTAACTTTACAAATCACAAAATGTGAAAAATTACTAAAATTATGTAATAATGCCATATTAAGAAATCCTAAAAATTTTTTTAGTTCTAAAGAATTTTTATTTATACCTAGAGATTATTTAGCAAAATTATTAGATAGAGACATATTAGGATTGGAAGAAATAGATGTATTTGTAGGTGTAATTATGTGGGGAATGAATAATACACCTAATATATCACATTTTGATGATTTTAGATTATGGTCAACAGAAGATCTTACATCTTTAAAATCAACAATAATACAATTTTTGAATAAAGTTAGATTCTTTCATATGCAACCTGAAGATTTTATTAATAAAGTTGGTCCTTTGATTAAAAACTTTTCACCTGAATTGTATGAACAAGTAATTCAATATCATTCAAAGAAATCAACACCTAGCTATTATAATATATTGCCATTAAGATTAAATTCTTTAATAATTAGAGAAAAAGAAGAAACAGCATTAATTTCTTATTGGATAAAACATTCTTATGATAAAAAAGGAAGAGAAGAAGATGATAATAATAACAATACTACTCATAATAATAATGATGATGATAAAGATGAGAACATGAGTTTAATTAAAACATATGAAAAATATTCAATGATACCATTTAATTTTCATTTAATATTTAGAAGTAATGGAAATGAATTAAAAGAAGATGATAATAATAATAAATGGAGGCAATGTTGTTATAACCAGGGACCAACATTAACTGTAATTAGAACAAAAGATATCAATGAAGATGAGGTAGTGTTTGGTGGATTCAAGTCGGTTAGTTGGTCAGACAATGATATAATTGGTGGAGGAAAAGGTTTTATATTTGGTTATTTGTGGAAAGATGACAAGTTATTGTTACCTTGGATGATGCCTGTGAAAAATCATTTTTACGGAGATAAAATTTTAGGTGATGGACAATTATTATTTATTAATTTTACAAATGGTAATAAGTTAATAGCGCATGCAAACGTTTGGAGTTTAGAAGAAACAATTGAAGAATTGGAAGTATTCATAGTTTTACATAAAGATACATTATAACATTAACTCAAAATCCTTTTATTTCTTTTGTAAATTTATTATTAAAAAATCCCCATTTCCTTTTTTTTCATCTCATAATCGTCAATAAACCATTCATGTTTATTATAGTTTTTCATATTTGGGGCCGGCTAGAAATTACACTTTAAAACTATAGGATCAGTGTTCGAAATTCATCGTCACGCGCTAACCAAATTTGGAATTAATTTCTCAAATAAGTCTAGTTTTATGTTAAGGCGCGGTCGAATTTCGAACACTACTGCTTTTCTGATTTCAGTGGGAACCGACTTTATTATCATCATCATCTCCTTGAGCTGCATTGCCTACCTACACTCATTTTTCAATTAGTATTGATGTTTTCTCTGTCAATAACAATGGTATTATAGTTGATCAAATTATCACTGCCATATATAAATAAATAATGTTGATATTATCACAATATTTGTGTTTGAAGTAATTTGAAAGAAATTTAATTTCTTCATGGTTACAGCTGGATAAAGATTTCAAGATAGAGTTTTCCTTCCACTCACTGATATCTATTCAGTCCGAGTCGTAACATGGGGAAAATGATAAGGTTTTATTTAATATCTTTTATGGCTTTGGAAATTTCTGCTTTCAATAGATTGAATTCATGGAAAGGCCCAATAACAATCTCTTGGGCTCTCACTGCACCACGGATTAGAGGTTTCAAAAGAAAAAATTTGAATTTCTTATACTTCTAAACTTGATTTATTATTATATAACAAGCTTTAACTTGAAACCATTCATCAGTAAAGGCTTATTCACCCAATTTATTTTATTTGCTACCGATTATTTTTATTATTACTAATATATAGTAGACATTTATTGGTTATTATTATTATTATTATTGTAAGAACAAAATTTAACATTATTACTATGTAGTTACATACTAATGATCATAACGGGTTAATTTAATAAATCTTTTTTTTTTTTCACTTCTATTTTAAAAGTTTATGTAATTTAATTGAAGAAATTATGAAGAAAGAATAGTTCGTCTTGATGAGAGGTTTATTTCTACTTGTGATGTCAGCTGATTATAAATCTCAGCGAGAACTTGAATTTTTAATCATTTATTACTATTCCATGTATCATATTATCATTATAATTACTACTACTGTTGTCGTTGTATCTAATAATTTGTCATTACCAATGCTAATACTAATAATACTGTTATTATCTTAAATTAAATTTACATCGCGTTGATCAGTTATATTCTATTGTACTGCTTTTAATTTGAGTTGTACAACTTTAAAATTTTAATATACTTTAAAATTTTTAAAATTTTTTTTAAAACCTTTCCTAAACCTTTTTTTCTATTCAAACTAAAATTCTCCTTTGATATATTATTTACTGTATAATGAAACAAAATCAAGGAAATTGTGGAAATCGCAGAAGTCATAAAAGTTGTGGAGGTCATGGAATTCATGGAAGTCGCGAAAGTCATGAAGTTATAGCAGTTGGTAGAGGTCGTTGTAAAAGTCATGAAAATAATGAGAATATAAAAAAAATGAAGAGACAAATAAAAACCATCTAGATACTGCCCTACATGGTAATTTTTTTAAATATTTTAATTTATAAAAAATTTATATGTAAACTTTTTTAATCTTTATTTATCAGAAAATAATCCAGAAATTCATAACGAAAAGGTAAAGAAAATCTATAATTTTTACTTAACTGACTGGCTTATGAGTTGCTCTTCGGTTTGATCGAAGAAATTACAAGTGTGCACCTTTAATTTTTTTCTGATGTCTTTTATTGGATAGAGACAATCATCCAATGATTGATATGGTTACTAATTATCCCGCCTCTTTAAGTGATAATTCATTCAGAACATTATTTGATGACGTATGGCTAAGTTTTTCACTGCACAATAACTGAAAAAGTAGACACGTTTTTTTTCAGCATCAAAAGGATAATAAGTTTTCGACAACATTTCATAGATTCTATGAAATATCCATATACACCGAAGCAATTGCATATGCTTTCCCGAAAGTGAGATGTATTGTTTTTAGATGTATTTGCGAAGATATATCAAGCACGAAATCAGCATCCTTTGATTATTAAAACTTCATCTAATGGTATTAACTCATACAAATTGCCTTCTTTATTTTACGAAATAACCGATCGTTACCTTCCAAAAGGCTTTGTTACTTCTAGGAAACCATCTACAAACATTTTTTGCGATTGCATATACTGTTATTACAATAACTATACTAATTTGAATAATTGTAGTGTACTTGTGCGTTGACATGGTTATCACAATCATTGTCTACAAAGGTGCCAATCTAAATGTTTGATATCTTCAAGTCGAAATCAAAAAAAAAGTCAACGCACTAAAAGAAAGTACGACGAAAAGATTAAACAAAAATGAGTTTATTGAAAATATCGAAAATATCGAAAATATCAAAAATACAATTGATGATGCAGCAACAATGGAAAATTTATTAGAGCATGCAAAAAAAAATTTTTTTTGGTAAAATTTGTTTGATTTTTTCACACATCATTCATGTTTTGTCTTAATCGTATATCTTAAATAATGGTTGTGTTTACAATCATTTCGTAGACATTCATTATATTAAGGTTAATTTTATTATATCGAGAGATATGGTCAAGAGAAGAGTTAAGAAGAGAATTATTCTTCAACCAAGTCGAAAACCAACCCTTTAAATACATTTTCGAGTAGTACAATTTAATTTATTAGACTATTTCAAAGGTTTGTCGCATGATTGCTTTCAACTTCTTAAATTCGAACCATTTGTTAACGAAACAACTGTTGACAAAATGAATCAAACCAACATTTATTTTTACGTTATCAAATTCACGATTTTGATTGGTAAAAATTTTGTTACTATTACATGTTCTTGTTCCTTCATTCAAACAAATAATTGTTCATAACACAACACTATTTGGAATGTAATTATTTTTTATGTGTCAATACTTATAAACGTTCTGGTCCTGGGGTAATTTTTGTTTTTGACATAATTACCATAGAATTGAGTTCGCAATATATAAATCTATGTGTATTAAATAATCATCAACTACCTCTTTTCACATAAACATTTATTCCGTCCGTTCATTGATTCATATCCTTTAATTATTTTTGTTTGCATATATTTTTATAATAAAAATTTAATATCCAGTTTATTAAATATGTTGATGATGGTGTTAACATTACTTTTATAAAAAAGGAGTCTCGTCCATTTATTTATTTATAAGTCTAATTATATAATTTTACGAAACAAAATAACAGTCAAAACTCATTACAGTGGACTTTTTTGTTTTCGTTTATAATATTTTTATAATCAATAACTTAGGGTTCCTAACCGTAATTATGATTCCGTATTCGAATATTCGTAAATCCAAAATTACGAATTTCGAATATTATTTCGGATACTCGTAACTATTTCGGATACTTGTAATTATTATTATTTTGAATGTTCATTATTTCAGATACTTGCATAAATTCTAACAGATTATTATTAATTTTTTCTTGTTCTTTAATTGATAGTTTCTTTTTGGACATCATCAATTTGATTGTTCCATTTCAAGCCATATCAAAAAATTATTAATAAATTATATACTGTATATCAATCATACAAATCAAAAAAATTACCATCATTTTTTATCAGGTGTAAGCATATTATGACATTTTAAAAATGATTTATATAATTGAAGTATTAGGAAAAATTTCCTGCAAGTTTTGAAAGAATTACTTTTTAAATGAAAAGGTTTTCTGAACAAATATTTTTTTAATTGTGTAAAAATATGTTATATTTGAAAAATGTTTGTTATATATATAGTAAGATAATTTACAAATAATTTTGTACTATTTTTTATCAATCAACAATCATTTATGAATTGTCACAATATTATCATAACAAATGTTTGAAATGATTATATTCAAAATAAACACAAGTATCCAAAATAATTACAAGTATTTGAAATAATTACAAGTATTTGAAATAATCTGAAATAATTACGAAATAAATTGTAAATTGATTTTTGAATATTTGTAAAAAATTTGATTTTTGGTAAAAAATAAACATATTAATATGGAATCAAAGGTCTACCCGATTTGAGTGTATTTAATAAAGAAATAAATAATAATAATAATAACATTCATTTTTATCCACTAATTAATAATCAATTTCATTGACCCACAACTTCACAGTGGGGTCAGGTCTAAGAGTCATATTTGCTTTACTTGTAACTTTGAAACCTTTGACTTCATGGAACTGGAAGTTTCTTAATAAATTGCACAAGATAACTTTTGCTTCATTTAATGCAAGCCTATTACCAATACATGATTTTGGCCCAGCTGAAAATGGCATAAAATTGTAATGAGTAAGACCTTTAACCTTTTCTGTAAACCAACGTGATGGATTAAATTTTTCAACATCTTCACCCCAAATTGATGGTGAATGATGAATTTGATAAATTGGTACAAAAATTGGTGTATCCTAAATTAATTTATTACTATTAGTAATATTATAAAAATAATAACAGGATGCATAAATAAAATAATACCTTTGGAATAAGATACTCATCAATCATGACATCTTCATTTGCTGTACGACCCACAAGCACAACTTTTATTATAACATAAAAAATATATATAAATATATAACAAATGCATTTATATTTATATAATAATCATAACAATATTTCTTCTTCTTATTATTCATTATAATAATATACCTGGAGGGACAATTCTAAGAGTTTCTTTGCAAACTGCATTTAAATATTCCATGGAATTGATTTGATCAAAATTTAGCTCAGAATCTTTATCAGGAAATTCTTTAACAATCTCTTCTCTGAGTTTGTCTTGAATTTCTTGATCTTTGGACAAATAATACAATATCCAAGACATCATAACACCAGTTGTCTCATGTCCTGCTATTAAAAATGTCATAATCTTGAAAATTTTTTTTTAGTAAAAAAATAATAATAATTATAAAAAAATCATTTCCTTCATTTTCTTT